AAGCAAAGCAAAGCAAAGCAAAGCAAAGCAAAGCAAAGCAAAGCAAACAACCCTTTTTCTTTCTGTTTTGTGTTTTGTTTTTCTTTTTCCTTGGCATTCATTCTATTTTTGTGGGTTTCAACCTAAAATAGAATCAGACAGGAGAAATATCCAAGGAATTATGATATTTATTTATAGGTGAAAATCACATCACAATAAGAATACACATGCCCCAGGAACGGGAGTGGGGCTCAGGAAGGTTGAAGCAATGGGCTTTGGTTTGCTTTCAGAGAAGTTTTCACTGTGCAGCCAGCCTGGCATCACACTTATGCCTCAACCTTGTGGATGCCAGGTCACAGGTGTGTACTGACTCACCTTGGTCAAGCAGAAGATTTGGGAAGAAAGAATGAGGAGTCAGAGCAGAAATGTTTGCTATACTGATTCACCGCTGTAGTGACTTGAGTGCAGGGTTGAACAGCTACTGAACTGACATTCTCATAGAAATCTAATACATTCTTCTCAAAGGCTGCAGTGACTCTGTGGTAGCAGCAGAATGACACCAACTTTTGAATCATCATTTATATAGACCCTTCCTTTATAACTTCTTAGCTTTACTCATTTTTTTTTTCAGAGCTGACACTAAAAAATCTAGTATGATTCTGAGAACTTTTAACTTCCTTTTCCTGGTAAAAATACAATATTTCTCTTGTGTTGTTTCTTTCTTTTACATCCTCCAACTTAGGATACACCTTCTTTATAAAGGGTCTCAACCCTTTATATTTTGATACAGCCTATGGATTTACTTATAATTATGCTATCATTTGAATCTTCAAGACTAATATTTGATTACAGCATACATATCAAATGTTCTATGAATATCAATTGCAGTATAGATTTTCACAGAACTTAGAAGCCTAGCTGTTGTGTAAAGCGTGCACTCCTGTAGTGCAGGAACAGACAACTGCACTGGGGATAGATTTCATCTCATGCTTTTCACTTACATGCACTACAGATTTTCTGCGTATTTCTCTTGACTTTTGCAGTTTTCTCTGTTACACAGTACCTGGATCCCAGTTCTGTTTACCTAAGTTCTGACCTGACCTGTTGGCATCTTCACTTCACATTCTCATATCCTCATGATAATATTAACTTAAAATGAGTGAAGAATGAGGTAGTTTTACCCAGGGGTGATTGTATCCAACATGGAATTTCAGTGGCCATACGAGCATTACATTCAAGAGTCATCAGGGAACATTCTGGAGCTTTCCTGTGTTTGAAAGACCATTGCTACCCTCTCATCCAGAGGATTAGTCATACTTAGGATGGATCACTCTACACTTTACACTGGCATTAACACTATAATGATATTAATTCATAGGAGGAAAAAAAATCTCGTCTCAGAAATATATTACACAATATGATGTCTCATGCAGGAACTCACTAAGGATGCTTGGACAATTCAAACTCT